AGCCTGCTGGACATAATAAGCTGCCAGTGTGTCCAAACACGTCATCTGGTCCTTCTCGTGGTCTCTGTAATCGAGGTTTCCATCAATGCGCGCCGCCTCCAGCAACTTGACAAAATCCTCTGTCTTGCCTTGCTTGTAGTACTCCAACTGAAAAGAAATAGTCGTGAGATTTCTGCACACCAGAAATCCTACAAATGTCACCGTAAACAAGCTTGTCACTTACAGCGAGTGCAATCCATATGTGCAGCTGTGTGTGTTCCTGTTTGAGGATACTGATGACTTCATCTCCTTCTGGAAGCTGGTCAAAGTCAAGCTCAATAACCTGAGAAAGAAACAACAAACGAATTATCATTAACCAGAACATTAAAATAAGATCAAATTCCACGAGTCCAGTGGATTTGGCTAAAACTGACAGTAGAATAATAACAAAAATCTAATAACTTAACCATGTCCTTAACCATCTTCAAGAAACGACTAAAAACACATCTGTTCCACCTTTATTTGACCCTCTTAACTCTTTCTATTCTATTTTAATTCTACTTTATCTATATTTATCTTCTTTTTTATTTTTTATTGCTTCCGACTCAAGCCAAAAACCCAATATCACAGTTTTTGGTTTGTACTTGTTCGTATCCAGTGGTGATGATCAGCAGCAGCAGCCCCACACACTCACCAACTGAACCTGAACAACAAAATTCCCTACACTTCCGGGTTAGCGGCCAAGCGCTTCAAATTAAAAGTCCTCAAAAATTCATCCATTATGGACTTTTTGTTTCAACCTTTCTGTCGCCACTAAATGATCATGAGACGCGACAAATGATTAAAAATACAAATATTCATAAAAGTATATTTAGATATAGAGTGACAAATTAATAATAGTAACAACAAAAACAACAACACATATGTGATACGTATACGACAAAGTACATTTGCCTTTAAATTTATAATATAATATTATATTTTAATATTAATGAATTTATAATAATAATAATATCTATCTATCTATCTATCTATCTATCTATCTATCTATCTATCTTCATAGCAACACTCTAGCAACTATCCAAACCAACCTAGAAACCGCCCCGGGTACCCTAGCAACCGCATAGCAACACCCTAGCAACCATCCCGGGTACCCTAGCAACCGCATAGCAACACCTTAGCAACCACCCCGAGTACCCTAGCAACCGCATAGCAACACCCTAGCAACCATCCTGGGTACCCTAGCAACTGCATAGCAACACCTTAGCAACCACATGAGTATTCTAGCAGCTGCATTTCTATCTATCTATCTATCTATCTATCTCGGATAGACTGTATTGCCTTCAAAACATTCAAACTTTAAGCTTTTTCAGACTGAAAACCATCAAAGTTAAAACTTTTTAAACTTCTTAAACTTTTTAATCTTTTCAAACTTTCTGGTTCGGCTTTCTCAAGCCAACTTAAAGTTTGTCTTGACAAACTTTTTTTATCTAGTTTTAGATATAATTATTACTATTCTCATTACAACTTCACTACTACTACCATATTGTATAAATAATAAAAAAAAAATAATAATAATAATAATAGTAAATATACTTACAATTTATAATTACATATTTATACTATTGTTGATGACAAATATACAATTATATGATGATAGTACAATATAAAATTATAATAAAAAGTTATATAGATGATTAATAATAATACATTGATATTACATCATTTAATATACAGTATGTAAAATTCTAATATAATATTTTAAATATAAATAATAGTATTAGTAAAACATATTTGATATGATATTATATTTGTATCTAAATTTATAATATTATACAGATAGATAATAATAACAATAACAAATATACAATGACATTATAATAGTATAATTGTATCTAGAATTGTGATACAATATGAAATAGGTAAGTAAAATTAATATTATTAAAATTAATATCAATATAATAAAGGAACAATGAAAGTAGTATAACTTATTATACTGTGTAGATTAATAATAGTAATTATAAATAGACAATGATATGACAATAGTTTAATTATATCTAAAATCATAATATGATATAACATTTTATGGAATAATAATAATAATACATTTTCAACATAAAAGGCTGACTAAGAGAAATACTCTGAAGGTTGGATATATGTTTGGTGAAATGGACAAGGACAATTAGTGGGGGGTGCTAATAGTGATGAGTGCTGGTCTTGAAACATTTGATATGGAAAACTGCCGAAGGTTCATTAAAATGGTCCATTACAGCATTGTTCTGTCCTGCTAGAAGTACACAGGCAGTGAATGGAGGGCGTTTGGGGGAGGTAGCCAAGTCATCTGGTTTTGATGTAGTGTGCGTCTATGATGAAAAAAAGAGGCAAAGGCTCTCTAAAGATCAGCTGTTGCTTTTAGAAGCATTGAGATCTACAGGCAACAAGGGTGTTGCACATACACAACAGTGTAACTGTGATTATATGTATGATTGTCAACAGATCATCCATGCTGTTTTGATAATGCCGTTCTTGTGTGTTCTAAAAGGATTATATTCATCTGAAAGGTATGTAATTTTCCATTGCATTTCATGCCAAAAAATAGTATACATCATTCCGTTATTACTGATGTCTCAGTTGTTGTCATTGTCATATTTCAGTAACACCATGAAACAGAAGACCTCATTAGGTCATCTTCAGTAGTGGTGGAAAATGTAAATCCTTCTCAGAATGAAATGAAGGGTATAGAAATACAGATGTCATTGGAGCAACAATATCACAGTTTCTTGAGTTTTCTTTCTCTGGTTGTCAGTTTATAATTATATAAATAAATGACCTTTCCATTTGTTAAAGAATCCTGAAAAAAAAGTATCACCGTTTCCACAAAAACTAATTGAAAAAATATTAAGCACCAGCTTTTTTCAACAGTGCTAATAATAAGAAATGTTTCTTGAGCACCAAGTCAGCATATTCATGTTCAGATCATGTGACACTGAAGACAATCAAGTAATGATGCTGAAAATACATTACAAAAATTGCATTAAAAAAATGACATTTTATTGCATTTTGATATTTTTTTTTACGTACAGACTCAATAAGTTGAACAGTGTATGTCTCTGTTACCTACAGGAGAGGTTCAGGCCTCCACTGTGGTGCAGTATCTTCAGTCCATGACGCTCCAAAGTTCCGGCCAGGACAAGCTGACCAATTTACGACAGATGCTGGACCCAGAGAACCAGGATCCACCTGTTAGTAGAGATACGTTTCACGCCACCATGAGAGAGTGGATCGCCCAGTGCTGCCAAGATGGGTGAGAGATACAGACAAAAACACAATGTCAGGGTATTTATATGACGTGATGTAAGAGGAGACATTATAAAGTGTGATAAACATTGATTTACGTATAGGGCTTCTGAGGATAAAAAACAGGATACAGGATCAACCTTAAGAAAATTATCTATAACTGGTAAGTGAATAATAGTGAAAGCTTTGTGAAATATTATTACAATTTAAAACAACTGCTTTCTATATTAATATATTTTAAAATGTAATTTACTCCTGTGATGAAAGCTGAATTTTCAGCATCATTACTCCAGTCGTCAGAGTCACATGATCCTTCAGAAATCATTCTAATATGATTTTGTGCTCAATAAATATGAGTTGAAAACAGCTGTTCTTCTTTTGGTGCAAACTGTCATTGTGACTTTTGATCAAGTTAATACATCCTTGCTGAATAAAAGTTATAACATGTGACATTTTAAACTTTCATCTTAAACCAGTCTCACATTGTTCCCATAGAAGAGTCCAAACAGCTGATAAAAACATCACAACAATCCACAAGTAATAAACCAATAATTAACGCCTTGTGAAGTGAAAAGCTGCGCTTTTTTTTAAATAATAGCAATAATAAAACAAACAAACAAACACATATAGATAGATAGATAGATAGATAGATAGATAAACAGGGGATATGCTTTTTCACTGGAGGAAGCGTTATTATGGATTACGGATTTGTATTTTGGCCTTAATGATGGATTTGTGTCTTACAAAGATGCAGCTTTTCCATTCACAAGATGTTAATTGATGGACTGGAGTGGTGTGGATTACTTGTGGATTATTGTGATGCTTTTATCAGCTGTTTGGACTCTCATTCTGACGGCACCCATTCACTGCAGAGGATCCATTGGTGAACAAGTGACGTAATGTTAAATTTCTCCAAATCTGTTCTGATTAAGAAAGAAACTCATGTACATCTGGGATGGCCTGAGGGTGTATACATTTTCAGCGATTTTCCTTTTGTATCAGTATAATTGATATAATAACTAATCAATATAACATCATAAGAATGTTTATAGTTTTTCTTTTTCTTTGAAATGTCACCAGTACCCAGCTGTTTGCAGTAAGAGCCCGATCCCTTTCAGAGGAACTCGATGAAACCAGATGTGCACTGAGGGAGAGCCAGGACAGAGCCGCAAGAGCACAGGCCAGCAACTGTGCCTTAGTATGAATCATTCACGCTCTTGAAGTCATAATACTGGTGACACTTGTTTTATAAAAGACTATTCTTACCCAATACCTTGACATCTGTCTTTTAGATAAAGGAAAGCGAACGCTTGAAAGCCCTAATCAGAATAACTGAAGAAAAGGTACTGACTTTTATAGAATCATACATTGTGAATAAGTATTTCGAAATAGTTCTGTTATGTGCTAAATCACAATAACTTCCACAGAATGAAAAATTAACCCTTGAGAGGAACCTCGCTGAAGATCGAATAAACAAACTGAGGAGAGAAAACTCTGAATTAAGGGTGAGAAAATGTGTAAGTGTGCATTGTATATGGCCACAGAGTTGAGCTAGAGTATATAAATACTGTTTGATCATGTTCACAGGGAGAATTAGAAGAATCTCATATGGTGCTGGCTGTGAAAGACCGGGACCTTACAAAGGTGATATTAAACTCTGCGGTGGTCCTTTTTTACTGTGTCGAGTACATTTTGTCTTTCTTTATGGCACTTGTTGTTTATTCCACATAGAGAAGCATCCTGCTGGAAAAGCTTAAGGACACTCACTTTGAAAGTCACAAAATTATTGAGGTATTCCGTTGTTGAGAATATGCTTGTGACCGTGTGAAAGCATGGTTTGGCTGTTCAGTAATGGTGTTCTGTTGTCTGCTAATGCATCTGAAGGGCCTGCAGTCAGAATTGATGAGGCTACAAGAGCACTCAAAGCAAGCACTCTTCAGGTAAACACCACCGATGTTGTTTCATTAGCAGGGAAAATCAGTTGGTACTTATGAAAAGCAGCAAAATGTATCATTATTTAGACTCTAAATGTACTCATTTTTGGCAGGTTAAATAAATGCCACATCAGTTCTCACATTCCACAGAGGACAGGTGTGACAAACCATCAGTCTCTGCATCATGAGATTCAGGAAGCTCGACCGGTAACAGTCCGTTTCACATTTACTGATACAGTTAATAATCTCTCTGATGCATGAATTATTTCAATGTTAATGGCCAAATGTATCTTTATAAAAGTTATATAAGTAACTTTATATAACTTGGATAACAATAATGAACCAACAGCCAACATGTTTGCCATTAAATAAGCTGCATCATGGCATT